ACACAAGCTACTAGGAGAGTCCTATATATAATCAAGCAGCTGAGTCCAGCAGCTGTTGGTTCAGCTCTTCCATAGTTCTTTGCCAACCGGATGGCACAAGTAGCTTCTTGTTCCCATATTGATATGCCCATAGTTCCACCAGCTCCGCATCAGCCCACGTATCCCCCAAGGGAAGAGATTGGAAAATATCTTTATCTGTCTTAGACACACTGACATGCACCTTCTGACGCATGCAGAGCCGAGGTTCCTGGGAGGAGCATTCCTGCTGCCACAGATCAAAGACCTTCTTCCCGAAGGCCCTGGTGTAGGACCTGGATAGGCTTGGGATTATAGTTCACCTGCTAGCAAAAACCACTCGAGCTCGACCTTGGATCCTGACCCACTTTTTTGGAGCTCCTTCTTGTACCCCGTAAACCGCTTGACGCCGTTCTTGTCAACATAGTGGCCTTATTATATGCACTGTGCAGGGCTCTGTTAGATACTAAATCCCTTCCTTTATGGCCGGTAAGACTCGAGCGTGCTGTCTTTAATGTGCTTTTCATCTCTTTGTGATCGCGGCGGAGAGGCCCTTTGTCCTAGATGAGGCCAATACTCATGGATCTATATGAGCAACTCCCTAGACGATACAATATATCATCTCAGCTGCAGACAAAGCCGGTAGCAAAGACTCTTGAGTTCGACCACGTGATGGTCGGCTTCGGGCAGGAAGCCCCGTAGTGCATCATGTAGAAGGTGGTCCGGAAAACCTTTGTGGATGAGTGGGGTTACAGGATCACAGCACACACCTCATTGTAGGCTTTAAGAGCTTCTTAGATGTAGGGGCTTTGGGTATGTGTCGGCTTTGGGGCTGTGGGCTCTCGGTTCTGCTAGAAGTACGTAGATCCAATTGCTTCGTGCCAGGATGGGCTACGGCCACACCAGAGGCCTGAGAGGATGGATGGTTTTGTGGTTTGCTAGTATTGGATTTAGGATTTAGGTTGGGTTGTAAGTTTGCATAGATCGGGTTTTATAAGACCTTTCGAGCCCCATTCTCAAAAGGGCTGATTGATGATATCCCCCAGCAATTCTTATACAATTGCTCACCTGGAATAAGACCGACATTAGAGATCAGGTTCAATCTTTGGGGGTGTTGGAATTGCCTGCACCTAGGATAGGCAAGTTTGGGGTAATTGCTTTAAATTATAATTGTCTTGGATTGTAATCGTTCGCTAGTAAAGAACGATCTAGTGGATGAGTTCTGGCAACATGGAAACTTGCGAGCACCAGCCAACCCTGGGGTGAGTGGATGGCACCCAAAAGACTCTGGGTCGACACTGTTGACATCCCGCCACGACAAGCAATCACTTTCGCAACAGTTGTTGCAGTCACTTTCCCAGTCACCTCCTTCGACGCCTCGGCTGAAGGGGTGAGCTGACTTGTGCGACACTGATCAGCCAAGATCAAGAGCATCCAACCATTCGAGGGCGAGATCCCGAACGTGCCACTCCCAGTGGATATGATCCATTGCCCCCCCCCCCCTGCCCTGAGCCCACCCCGATCCTTTTGGGGTTCGTCACTCCTTCTAGTGTTTCTGAGTAAGGCACTCTTCCTGGGACGATGTCATGAAAATAATATAATAGGACCCTGTATGATTTAGAAAGCCGATAGCAACCTTTGAGCCCAGAAGCCAGTAAGTTATATCACAGAATTTAGCGAGCTGCTCCAAGTGTTGCTTTCTGGCGCTTTGAGAGTTGGGGATTCATTTATAAGCAACCAGTACTATGGGAACTGTTTCTATAAGCCATACCACTAAGCCCATCCTGCTGAGACCTGACATGAACTTTTGGGGGTCTTAGGTGCTGGAACCTTTGAGGCTGAAGGCCTATGGAGGGTATAGTACCTTAAATTAATTCAATTGATTGGGTTGCTCATTATGACACACACACACACAAACGATTCGATCGCAGTGTAGGGCTTTCGCGGTTTCGCCTCTAGGGGAGTCTACAATATGCTTTACCCCCCTAACCCTTAAACCCTACTGCTGCTGCTGCTACTACGACGACGTACGATAACGACGACAACGACGGCTACTACCTATAGGTGTGGTTGTGGCCATGAGTCGAGACTATTGGGTTCATTTAAGGGACTAGGGTTCTAGGGGTTTTCCAGAAGAAGAACCGAAACCATCGACTCCTAGCCGTACACGATGATCCTTCTTCCAACGACACCGATGCCGAAAGCCACAACCCCAGCCCTAATGTTGTACTTCAAAAAACAACTCGAAAACCGACACGAAAACCTCCGAACCCTAAGCCCACCCGAGACCCCACCACTCCAAATCTTAAGACCTCAGCCATCCTTCCAAGACTCCAGGATGTCCAGTTTGCGCAATCGTAGTCGTAGTAGTAGTAGTAGTAGTAGCAGCAGCAGCAGCAGCAGGAGTAGTAGTAGTAGTAGTAGTAGTAGTAGTAGTACTGGTAATTATACTTATATTACTAGTACTATATATAGTACTAGTACTAGTGTACTGGTAGTACCTAATAAGTATGATTATATATTAAATGAATAATTATAAATAGTGGGAGAAGGAGCACTGGTAGTAGTAGCAGCAGTAGCAGCACAGCACTAGCAGTAGCAATCGTGCCAGGACATTGGCCACAAAATCGATAGCCACTAGCCTCGAAGTCAGACCCCTCCTATCGTTAAGTTTCTGCGAGCCCAAAATAGAGCCCCATATATGGTTTAGGGATCGAGTTGGCGGGGTTTTGGGCTGAGGGTTTTCAGGCGATAGGCCGGGTTTAAGAGATCAGAGCACCCAAACATTAGTAGTCGTAGTCTGAGAGCAACAACAGCAGCAGGAGCAGTAGCAGCAGCCTATGTGGGAGTAGGAGTTTACAGTACGTGGTGCTTCCATGATTGTTACCACTCATCATACTGTACTTCTAGCATGTTTAAAAAATTACAAACACCCAATCCTTAGAAGCAAGCCCCGATCGCCCATACTAGTGCCCAACCGTGACCCTTAGGGTTTAGGGATTTGGCCCAGGGTTTCGGGTTTACATCATCACTCCCCAAATACCCCAGATCCTAGAAAGCCTGACAGGCCAGAAATTCAAGGAGAATGGACTGAGGACCGGGTCTCAGGGACTTATTGAAACTAATTGTTGAGGAGTGTTCTGGTTTGGGTGTGATTTGGGATATGACTATCGGAACACATTTCAGGGAATATTGGGGAAATATGGATAGTACTATAGTACCCTTAAGCCAGCTCCAAGGAGCCCAGCATATGCAGTTCGTAAACCAGGCAAACCGGGGATGGTGCGGGAAGACATCGTCGGATCCACGAGGTTGCTCTATCAGGAACACAGCATGGACCGCCATGATCAGCAGAAGGAGCAATACCATCCTGCGGCCGGGTTGGGCTTGAGGTTTTGAGGGGTTTGGGTGTAGGGTCTGGGATGTGCATGATACACATGCATGAGTGCATAGACCCATGCAGCTCCTTGACAGCACCATTGATCCATCTCTAACATATTGCAGCGCTTGCCGCCCAAATGGATTTATTGGTGACCGCAGGGATGTGCCACGGGACATTTGTGACCAACTTCCACAAGCCGGTGCCAGAACATTCATAGCATTAGGCCCTTCTCGCATGACACAAGCCATTGCTAACCTTAGCTCCAGGATTGTCCTATGCTACTTATAAGATAGGATATGCAATAGTACACAAACTGAGCCCTTCACGCAAAGCCCCCAGGGGATAGGAAATCCATACACTTCCCTTTGGGATCGTAGAGCATATCATACGAAACCGTGCGCTTTCCAGCTTCTCGGAAAACCTGACTCACCTTCGCGTCCCCACTGAAGAGCTCCAGCATCTCCACCTGCATGCCGAGGTCGATATTGCTGGTCCACATCAGAAGCAGCACCTTGCAAAGTGCTCGAGGCCGTGGGTTTGGGTGACCGGTAAGACACTCGTAGGAATAGCATAATTGCAGCTGTAGCACACATCCGATGAAAGCCTCCGGCACAACATAGCCAGCGAGTGTTCCATACATATAGGCTATTTTTGGAATACAGCAGGATGGGCCTTCGGGGCTTGGAGCTGCACAAGGTTTGGAATCAAGGATTCCCATCGAGGAACCGGCATTGGTAGTAGCTGCTAGACCCACGAAACCCACAAAACGATTAACGAAACAGCTGAGCCATAGCATATTGTCGATCAGTTGACACTGCACTTGCAAGTCCATGCAGGCTCACTCTGCAAAGTACATGCATGGCCCGGAAACAATCAAGGCAGCAGTGCCCTGTGACATCGCACGACAGGCCCATCTCTCCATTGTCGATCAGGGGGACCTGCGCACACAAACCATGCATGCATCGTATACATTATATGAAACACAGGCGTGCTGGTTGCAAGCACTTGCAATTGCAATATTTCTTTCACAGCTGCACGAGTGCCCCCAGCTGCAATCCTATAGATCGTGTTCCTTCACGATGCATGTGCACTTTGCGGACAGTCTTTCAAAATCTACGTGTCATGTACAGTACTCGTACGCTAGCCCAGCACCATCGACGCCAGGGTCGGCAGCGAACATTGCTAATCGCTGCAGCATACTGCACATCTCCCCAAATACCCAAACCAGCCGAAATCAAAATTGCTGGCTCACCATGGTTGCGCTCACACGGTGGTGCGATAGGCCTAGGTAGGGCAAATCTTTACAGGGGCAGCATAGCACAATGGATTGTGACAGTTCGATATATGCAAGCGAGTATCTTCCTTGCCTATGCATGAAGCCTCTTCTGCAGACATCCCGGCTGCAAGAGCTTCCGATCGGGCTTTATGATAAGCGACGGATTTGCGGCTTTTCAGGGCCTTGGCTTCATCGACCTCGGGCTTTGCACGGCTGCCCTTCTTGGGGGATGTCTTGGCAGTGGCTTTCGCGGGCCGTCCCGGCTTTCCCTTAGCCTTAGCCTTTGCCTTTGCTTTGGCCTTTGCCTTTGGCAAAGACTTAGCACGGGCCTTCGCCTTCGCCGCTGGTCGCCTCAAAACCTTCCGTTTCGGGGCTTTCTCCTCTTCATCCTCTTCCTCTTCATTTCCCTCGGCATCATCACAGCCCTCATCGCCATCGTCATCATCATCTCGGGCATCGTCTTCCTCATCATCCTCCGGTGCTTCGGTGGCTGCATCACCATCCAAATCCTCCTCTCCTGCTGCTTCCATCTCATCCTCTGGTTCCTCCTCATCCTCCTCGTGCTTCGGCTCTCGCTTGCCATGCTTCTGGTCTTTGGGGCAGATAGAAGGAGGAATCTTGTACATACATGCGGGCTTTTCGGGGAGTGCAAGGGCAGCCTCACCAGCTCTATCGGCCTTCAGTTCCCCTTTGCGTGCCTTCGCGATGTTGGACCCACTGTGTGTTGTTGCAATCTCTGGCTTGGTGGCTTTGTTTGCAATCTCTGGCTTGGTGGCTTTCGTTGCAATCTCCGGCTTGGTGGCTTCCATTGCAATCTCTGGCTTGGTGGCTTCCGTTGCAATCTTTGGCTTGGTGGCTTCCGTTGCAATCTTTGGCTTGGTGGCTTCTGTTGCTGGCTTGGCTTTGCCGATTTCAATCTCGGAGTTGGCTATCCCCCTCCCGCTCCGGCGCAAAACATCATGGGATGCTGCCACATGCATAAGGGGCTCTGCCTGTTCGGAGTCGGACTCAGGGGAATCTTCATATTCGAACGACAAAGCTTTGCATGCCGGGTCCCACGGAGGCTGCGAATCCTCCATCCACACCTGTGTCTCCAAGTTGTCCGTGCCTTGGCAGGATTGGAGGTTCTGGGAAGTCAGCATGCACATGAGTGATGCATGGACTGCACATGTACATGCATGCATAGACACTATTGATTCACAGGGGCAGTTGCTCGAAGGGGGTGTTGGAGCTTTCCCAGACCGCCGGGGCAAGTCAACCTGATCCCTTTCATAAAGGCGCTGTCGTTTCAGTTCCTGCAATGACAAAGTCAGCTCCCGAAGCTTCTCCTCAGATCGATCTTATATGAACATCGCTACACGACAGCAGCTAACAACGGCAGCTAACAAATTGTACTCTAGTGCAGTGCAAGCTAGGCACAAGCTCTTTGATCTTGGCTAGCCGTTTCGCATCACACTCCACGGTAGTGATGGTTGCAAGGTCACCCATCAAGCCACAGCCTTGGCACTCATAGCAGCCACTGCCCAGGGCGATGACGACGTGGGTATTTCCTGGCAGCGAATTTGCAGGACAGATGGTTCGGATTTTAGGTGTTAGTGTGAGTTAAGGTCTTTAGGGTTTAAAATTATATGTTACGGTACCTCCTTCAAAGGTCGAGGCTGCCGTGGAAACAGTCGATGTTGGAGTCATTGCACCATCATGAGAACCTGGAGGGATAATATGATCGGGTAGAGTTTTTATTCAAAACAACAGGGCATGCTTCACAGACCACACCTGCTTCTAGATGCTTGGACTTCTGGCTTTTGACACCATCTTCCAAGACACGCTTCAGCTTCAGCATCGTTGGATCCTTGACCCTTTTGCGAACAGGCAAGGCCTCTCTGGTCTCGGTTGTTGCGGCCTCTCTGGTCTCGGTTGTTGCGGCCTCTCTGGTCTCGGTTGTTGGGGCCTCTCTGGTCTTGGTTGTTGGGGCCTCTCTGGTCTTGCTTCTTAGGGCCTCTCTGGTCTCCTCGATGGGGGCCTCTCTGGTCTCGGTGGGGGCCTTTCTGGTGTCGCCGGTGGTCCTTCCTCCTTTGGTGGAGCTCTTTCCTGACTCACTGGTGGGGGTAGTGGGGCCCTTTCCCGCCTCACTGGTGGGGCCCTTTGCTGCCTCACTGGTGGGGGCCTTTCCTGACTCACTGGTGGGGGCCTTTCCTGACTCACTGGTGGGGGCCTTTCCTGACTCACTGCTGGATTCTCCTATCTCGCGCGTTTTTTTTGTCTCGCTGGGGGCCTTCTTTCCTGTCTCACTGAGGGCCTTTTCTTTCTCACTGGGAGGCTCCATGGTGGCCTTTGCGCTCTTGCTAGCCGTCTCGGTTCGGGCTTCCTTCTTCATCTTCTTTGAAGGGGGGGCAACCAACACAAGATCCTCCTCCTTCTCCTCAGGCTTCTCTAGCTTGACAGGGATTGCAGGCTCAGCAGGCACCATGGCGCTGGAAGGGGCCAGCTCCTCCATCACATCCTCTAGGGGTGGGTCATCTTCCATCTCCTCTTCCTCCTCCCCTTCACCCATTGAGTCATCATCACTGCAACTGCCAGCGGTGCTTGCTGCTGGCACTGGGATTCCAGCATGTTCCATAATGGAACGTATCGAAGCAGACCGTGGCCTGTGAGGCCTGGAGATTGCTCGCTTGAATGTCGAGACAAGCCTCTTGATCGACCATGCCATAACCGAAGCTTGCGAACCTTAAATTGGGCTACAGATTTCGATTCATTTAATGGGCCCAGGGATACATACAGTGCATACTGACAAGTATAGGCGAGGTGCTGGATAAAGGAAGTGCCATCAACTCGTACAAACTCAGCAAGTGGGTCTCTAGTACATCCACACCAACTCTCGCACCCAGAATCAAGATCACTGGTTTCAGGAGCTCTTCGTTGAGCTCGATGGCATCGCGGTCGATGCACCCACTTGGAGGCATCTTCACCTCAAACTTGCAAGTATGCGTGAAGCCCTTAATTAGCTGCAATACATAATGTTGCATGGTATGGTATGTGCAACCAGAGTACAATCGTGTACACAGCTGCACGACGACGCACCGTGGAGTCACATTCCCAAGCCTTGGCCAAATCGGTTGGCCCCGCCTTCATGTTTTGCGCATCCATGGTTTCGATCTTTATAACTCCCAAAAGCGTAGAATCGTCGCCTGCATATGCCTGCAACCCTAGTGTACATGCATGTTGCACTGTGCCAGCTTGAAAAGGCAGCATGCACATGTGCAGGCAATAGCTTTCGAAGGTGCACATGTGCCATGTTCACAGCAGGCATGAGCAAGAATCAATGTCAGCGGAAGCCGGGGGGGGGCGGACTTGCACCTGCAGAGGCTCCCAGAGAAGCCAGCGCATTCATCGGCCACCTGGCAACACATGCATGCATGCAGTACGGTCTGCGGCTGGTGATCATATGGTAGTCTACACATGCATAGCAGAGCAGCCGAGGTTCCTATGCTACCACAAGCTCTGCAAAATGCTCATGATGCTTCTCGAGCTCCCGCCTTCCGAACGTCGGGATGCTGAAGCCGAGCGACGGATGGCCATTGCAAACCCTATACAGACGACCGCATGTGTATACATGCATGCATGTGAAGATACGACCACTGGGACAGGAGGGTAGAAGCTGGGTGGGTATTATATAGGGTTCCTATACATGCTGCCGGATTAGTGCTTTGGGGGGTACTACAACGATGCCTTTCATACGTGCCTGAGAGCAAAAGCGCTCAATTCACAGAAAAGCGCTCGATTTACAAGGAAACGCTCGAATTGTACAATTAAGCCCCTCTGACCCCCAAGAACGCACAAACACTACAACGAGCAAAAGAGCAGAAATAAACGTATCAAAGGAAGCATCAGGCAAACCTCTATGGTAGTCGAGCCTGAACATGAGGGTTTAACAGGGCTAATATAAGGGCTCTTGGCAAACGCAGCTTGGTCATTCCGAAATATGGAAGTCAAGTTAAACGCACGTCAAAAGCTCACAAGCCCCATGCAAACCTCGAGCACCACATGACTCTCAAAGTAAGAGTGAAAGGCCCGGATACTGAGAATCCCTAAACAATTGAGGGCGCCACATCATGATTGAAGGAACCATTAAAACAAAAGGAGCCTAACTGGACCCCTCAAATCTTAAAGTGGTACATGTTGAACAACATGCGCACGTAATTTCGGGGCCTCAATAATTAGAGTAGGCTGTTGGGTAATTCATATAGCATAACCCTACAGAAGACGCTTTTACTTCTAAAGGCACATCGATTATGTGCATGCATATGTAGTGTACCAAGACATCCCAGAATCTGGGAGTTAGGATTAGGGAAACCCTCTGGGGATATAGACCCTCTCAATCAATAAGGTCCCCTTTAAGAGAGCCACAAGTAGGATTCAGAAGGGTCCCCTTCAAGGGGTCTCCCTAATGCTACCTCGGAGAATCACACTTCATCGTAGCATGGCCGAAGTCGTGTCACTGTCTCTGCTATGGGTGCGGAACGCTCTGCTGCCCTTAATGGGTAGTTCTCTAAACTACGCCCCTTTTTAGGTCCCCCAAAATGGTACGGCACCCTTATGAAACGGACTCTACAAAGGACCCTAATGTAGAGAACTACCCATATCGACAACATGTAGTACGATCGTTGTTCGGTTTACGCGAAATTCCAGGGAAACAAGAGCGGAGCCCCACATACCTTCGACCGCACTCTACCTGTAATCCAAAACCCTACCTTTCTACACAACCATAGGCTCCATAGTAGTCCCTTTTTGTGGTTTATATTTAGGATCTTATAAGGTGGTCCCAACAAGGAACTACTATGGAGCTAACTATATAAAGCAGCAAGATTGAGGACAGCTTGAACCCCAAACCCGAAACCAAGGTAGGCGTTTTCATTTTCGGAGCCTCAAGGCCGTCACCATCAAGAAAGGGGCCAGGCAGTTTCGGATTCAGAGTTCAGGGTTTAGGGTTCATGGTGCAGGGGTGAGGCTTGGGGTTTGAAGTTCAGGGTTTGGGGTTCAGGGTTTAGGGTCTAGGGTCGAGGATTCAGGGTTGAGGATTTGGGGTCAAGGGTTCAGGGTTGAGGTTGTGGATCTTTGGAAAGAAGAGGTGCCAAAGCGTGCCAAGGACGTCGGCCAAGCAGCAGCCATGGCTTAAGAGCTTCTAGTAACCCAGAGGGCCCACATACACTACTATTACGGAACTAGGTCCCAAAAGACCATCCTTACTATGCCTTTGGGGACCCAACTCCACAAGAGTAGTGTACATGGACCCTCTTTTTTGGGTAAGATACCCCGTGCGACCCTAATAACGAGGCTAATGTAGGCCATGTACAGGTCTGATCATCTACCCGTAGGGCCCCCTTAGTAGTTCCTTTTTGGGATTACCTCATAGGGTCCCAAATATGAGCCACAAAAGGAACCACTACGGAGCCTATGAGTAGACCTTAAAATGTGGCACTTCGTTCGGTTACCGAAGTTTAAGGTACTACAGTCTAGGTAGTCCTGCCTTTACCTACCAGCACCCCCTTGGTACACACACTGAGGTCTCTATTCGGGTCCTGCGACACCTTTCTGAAGCTTAACAGACCTACCCAATCAGTGCTTCTTATTTCTGGTATATATCTATCAATCTTCAAAAGGGTCTTTAAAAGTGAAGTTTGTGGGGCATAAGCGTAGTCTGAGAGTCCAACGGACCTATTGGTCAGGCCCAAGGGTAAAGGATGGTCGTGCTGTAGGCTTCTTATTTGGGAGAGTATACCAGGACCCTCCTTGTACCCTCAAATAGAGGTATATGGTCCCAAATAAGGGGTACTTAGCGTCTAATAGCGGACAGATGGAGGGTCTAGGTAAGGTAGTTTTGGGCTTAGGGTTTAGGTACTTCGACCTTTAAGGTTATGTTTATCCCCGAAGGGTTGAGGGTTCATGTCGAATCCGTAAAGCCTGCACTCGACCCCCCCCCCCCTTGGAAGGGCTTGGGGTCTGGGGGGGGTAGGGGTTTTATGGTTGAGGGTGTACCTGGACCCCGAACGTATGTAGAATAAAAACATTTTAAGGGTTTTGGGCCATTATTTTAGCTACTTTTGGGTGTTTAGGTAGGGGCTATGATAGAGAGTTTAGTATAGCTTCAGGTTTCTTCGGGCTCACGGAGTGGGTGGTGGGTTGAAATGATTGCCTTGGAGAGCTCTGCCTGTAGATGAAACCACAGTATGCCAACAGGTATATGAATCCTAGACCCTTGACCGCTGATAACCCGTAAAAACCTCTAACAAGCCTGCCAACGCTAACCCTAACCCTCAGGCTCTAAGGACTCATATTTTAAGGCCTTTGGGCCCAAAGACCATACTATATACGGCTTTTGAGCTAATATTAGCCTTGGGGTAAACACCCCAAGATTCCTCACAACCCTAATACCTCTAATGACCTTATAATAGCCCTAATACCTCTAATAATCTTGCTAAGAACCCTAGGAATCCTCACAACCCTAAACCCTACACCAGCCATAACCCAATTACCAAAAGCCTGGGAGCCTTCAGTTAGGGTTTAGGGGCTTTGGGCTTTGGGGTTTAGGCGTTCAGGGGTTTAGGAGTTTCGGGGGTTTAGGGTTTAGAGGCAACCAGAACCGGCCTCTGCTTCGGGCACTTACTCTCGGTTCCCCAGTCGTCCCTTTTTACTACCCTAAGGCCTTAAGGTCTCATATCTTAAGGCTTTTGGGCCCGAAGAACATACTATATAAGGGCTTTGGGCTATTTGAGCCCTATAGGGTAATAGAAGGGTATCCCTTTTCCTACTATTTGGTTGTTACAGGGGAGCGCAAAAAGAACAAGGGCAAAAGGGCCTTACATTGCTTGAGGATTTAGGGTTTAGGGGTTTAGGGACTTACGCATTCCTCCTGACAGCGGAACCCTGGAGCCTTATGCTGTGAATCCATGCATGGTAATTGAACCCTAAACCCTTTCAGGGTACGTTGTTCTCGAGGTCAGGGCAACAGTTTGAGAAACAGAAACTCGGGGTTATAAAGCTTGGAAGCGAGAACGACGGACTCTGCAACCCTGAAGCCTGAAATCAAAACCGTGCATCCATTTTAGCCCAGCTGTGGGGACATCTTCCAGCGCCGGAAATCAGAGTCGCGGAAAGGCCTCAAGGGATCTTTCATGCTTTTGAGCTATTTTGAGCCTTAAGGTTAGGGTTTAGGACGCTTGACGCTTTGCAGACATGGTAACTACGTTGTGTTGACAGTTTAGATTTCAGCACTATAGGGGCCGTAACAATTAGACTAGGGTTTTGGGGTATATGATACTAGAAGCATAACGAGGAGCCCCCGAAATAGTATTGGTAAGTATTTGGGCCCCTATATCACGTTTAAGATTCAAAATACGATGTCGGGTCGCGGGCTACGATTTGGGCAGCTGTCGCATCAGATTTTCAAGGTTGATACGTTTGGGGTAAAGGGTTTAGGATCCAGGGTTTAGGGTTGAAGGTACAGTGGCAAAGGAGGCCTCTTTTTGGGGACCTGATTAAAAACCCCTGGGTCTTTAAGGGTTCTTTATATGGATCCTACGAATACGTTACCGTCTCTGCAGTGGCTTTCATGTGCCTTGGTGCAACCTGCGGTTTGCCTCATGCGGCCACAGCTCGCATCCTCCAACCGGTAGGTTTGCCAACACCAACACAAGCATATCAGTTTATGTACGCAATAAAATGTTCGA